ACTCATTGAGAGCTGAAATCTTGGCAGCTCTAGAAGGATTTAAAAGAATTAAACAACTGAATATTAGTAATTTGTTGGTGGAAGGAGATTCTCAGTTGACTATTAAATGGTTGCAGAAGGAAGTGTCCAGCTTKTGGAAGTTCTCTAATGAAAGAAAGAAAATTACTCAGTTAACTCAGAATATGTCTGTAAGGGTTCAATGGGCCAAGAGGTGCACTAACTCCATGGTTGATACCTTGGCCAAACAGGGGGTGGGAAGAACAAATCTTTTTTGGGCTATATTGTAATATGTTTTTTCAGTTTGTTAGGGAGGGTTAAGTCTTTTTACCCCTCCCTTCTGGTTGTAATTTCTATATCTCTTTTTATAAAATTTCTGTTATTGATAAAAAAAAGAGCAGAATTCATGGCTGCTATTGTTGGAAATCAAAAAGCAGAGGAAATGGAAATCACAAGGCTGATTGTAGAAGGGGACTCAAAGATAATCATTGGTTGGTTGAAAAGTGGAGAAGGGGTGTTATGGCAATTTTGAAATGAGTTCAGGCGGTTCAAGTTGCTATCAAGACAGATGCACATTCATGTAAGATGGGTTAGAAGGTCTGCTAATGGCTTGGTGGATGGATTAGCCAAGCAAGGAGTACATAGACATCACATGTTTTGGACTCAATGTTAACAGGGTGGTGGAATATTTCATTGTAAAGGGTTTTGGCTCTAACAACCTCTTGTTGTAATCCCTGTTTCATTAAATTTTAATAAAACTCTGTGTTGCTAATAAATAATTATAAACGCTTATGAGAGACTCCAGAAAAAGTGGAAGAATTGGTTTCTTTCTCCTCATGTGTGTGCTTTATGCTGGAAGAACAGGGAAAGCACCAACCACCTTCTTGTGCATTGTTCCTATTGCCTTGCAGGTATGACAGTATTTTTCTCTTTGGTTGGGGAAGTGTGGGTAGCACCTACTAATATTAAGGACCTGTTTAATTCAATATAATTAGGTGTGTCACTTGAAGGCAGAAAATTTTGTGGCAGTGTGCAGGGGGCTGTGCTAAGAGGTCTATGGAATGAGAGGAATGCTAGAATTATTAATGAAAAATATAAACAGGTGGAGGAAGTGATTGAACTCACAATGATAAGGGTTGTGCATTGGGCACTGATATTGTAAAGAATTCAATGGTGGAAATATTAATGACTTTGAGAGGGTGGAATATCATAGCAGGTTTGCAATCCAGGGCGCCTCAAAGAGTGCTGGTGGTCCCCTCTAGGGGTAGGGAGGTGCAAACTGAATTTTGATGGGTGCTTTTTAGGGAACCCTTGGGAATCTGGAGTGGGGGAAGTGGTAAGAGATTTTGGAGGCAATATTTTGCTCAGTTACTCAGGTCCAGCTGGGTATGGAAATTCTTTAAGAGCTGAACTAATGAGTTTACTTCAAGGGATAAAGTTGAGCTTGCAGCAGGGCTTGGCGAATGTTGAGGTGGAGGTGGATTGTGGATGATTGTTTAGATATATGGTGAGATTGGTTTACTCTTTAGGTGCCTCTTTGAATGCCTCATTTGACTAGGTTTCTAGGTGTGCTAAAATGCTAGCTGACTTGTTAGCAAGAAATGGGGTAGGCAGAGATAGTTTGGACTGGGGATGCCTAGGGCCAGGCTGTTATGTAAGAACTTCTTTCTTTTTTCWTTTTTCTCTGTTTTTGCTTGGGCTGGCTTGAGTGGTTGAAGCAGTTGTATTTATTCTCCTTGTCTTGAGCTCTTTTCATGTATCTTTTTTCTCTTTAACGAATATTTCTGTTGATTATCAAAATAAAAAAAATAAAAAATCTAGGGGTAAGAGTCACCAAGCGTTGGACCACTTCATCTTTTAGCATGAAGGAGCAGGTGAATTACCCAATGCTGAAATTCAACTTTCAAACTAGAATTGTTCAGCATTTGGCGCCTAGTTCAGCTATTATCAACCACCACCTTAGGGAAATATCACAAAAAAATAGGATTAAAAGCTTGATATTTATTATATAAACTTACAAAATTATCGAGGCAATGCAAGATATTTTGCAAAATCACATTTACATGTTAATGTATCTTGTTTGGCTATAATGCCTTTGTTTCCTTTTGTCGTATTCATTATATATGGTTATTTTGTTGTATGGTCGCCTTGTATAATTTATATATGCATCTCTCTTTTTTTGAAGCATTAATTTTTTAGTTCAAGTCCTTCCAAACTTAGAATATCCAAATAAACTCTCTCTCTTTTCTACCACCCAAAATTTTGTATCTAGACCTGGATTGGATTTTTACAATTCTAATTTGCATCCTAAATTTCTAAGTTTTAATTTCTCCCACTTTTGATTTCTCAGGCTGGTTCTGCAGTTCCTTTGTCAAAGACTGAAATTCTTAGGCATTTCCTAGAGGGAACTCCAGCTTCTCTTGTAGATATTGGTTGTGATGAAGAAAAAGATGCACAACAGGACTGGAGCTCAGGTATTATGTTTCTTCATCTGTTTCATATATATATATAGTAAGTGTGTGCACGTGGTAACTCTAGATGATGATAATGATAATAATATATCCAAAATTTTCTATAAACCTTATGTATTTTTTATTTTTGTTTTTATATTTTTATATTTTTATATTTTTTATTATTAATAGGATGCATATTGCAAAATCCAAATCTGATTACATTAAAATGTAAGATTTATGAGGTGAAAAGTAAGATTTAAATAGAGGGAATTGAATGAGGTGAAAAGTAGTAGTTCAAATTATAATTTTAATTATATATCTGTTCATTTTTTTTTTTTGTATTTTTGTGTGTAAAAATAATTATGATATATCACACTTACTTTTTGTTTAGTATGATAAATATATGATATGATGCATCTGCCTGAATGCTTTTTTGCAAAATTTATGTATTTTTTCATTTTTATATTTTTTATATTTTATTATTTATTTATGAAATTAAATGTTAACACATTTAACCCAAAAAATTGAACTATTTATTATTAATTTTTATGTTTCATTTTTTGCCAGTTTCTAAATTATGTATTTCATTTTCATTATCAATAAAAATAATTTTTATGTTACACTTATTTTTTTAATTTGATTAATAAAAATATAATAAATGTGTTTAATTTTTTCTACATTTTTGTAATTTTCTATATTTATTTCTATAAAATTTTATTACCTATGTATGACTTCTAGGTTGATCAATTTGATTAAGATGGTTGAATTGCTTTGCCACCACTTGGATAAAAATGGTTTTGTTTTTGAGTCAGCTTTAAAATATATGGGTTTATATTGTTAAAAATATTGACAAAGATCTAACTAGTAGCATTTATTAGTGAAAAATGACTTAAATATAGGATTTAATAAGAGAAAATGGGATTTAATACCTTAAGTATAAGACTTAATGAGAGGGGATTAAATGAGGTGGAAAGTAATAATTAAAGTTACATTTTCAACCTTGCAATTAGAGATGGACTAAATACATAAATATGAGAGTTTTAGTAGCCACTAAAGCTATAATAAAATGACTTTTATACCCTTTCTCAAACAAAGAAATAAAGGATAATTTTAGTCCAAAAAAAAAATTCACACTGCATCCACRCTTTGCCAAAGGCAATGGCTCTCCACAAAGAACTTTTGAGGAAGAAATCGGATTCCTAATTCCTCAGTTTCTCATGCTTGAGTTGCAATATCACAATTTTTGGGTTTTTCTTGTTTAGGTTATTCTTGGTTTTTAAGAGTTTCTAATGTGCTGGTGTTGTTGGAATGGGTTAACCATCTTAAAGGTTCAAATTCAAAATGGTTTAAATGATTCTTATTAGAGAACTCTTTACTCTTTAGTGATTTAAAAGGTGTTCCTCATGTGCACCTAGGCAACAGGCAAGGTGCATTTCAAGGTCTACGTGTCTGCACCTTGGCTAGGCCTAAGCACAATCCCTTTGAGAAGGCATGTTCTTTGTGCGTTTTGTTCCTCAGCTAAGTGTACACCTTGGTTAAATTCATTGTCTTCTATCTATTGAAGCTAAAATATTCTCCCTACAAGTGGTTCAACTGGTTGGTGTTATTCCTCCTAAATCACTTTCTCATGTGGACTAAATTGTTGCTTAATGAGTTCCATTAGCATTGAAGGTGTGAATTGTCTCAGTTGGTAAAGAAGTGACAATAACATGATATCTGTTTTATTGTTATTACATATTTTATTTCATCTTTTTAAGTCCCCATGAATGAAGTTTCATTTTCTTTAGAAAACAACAAGAGAATTGAAGTCAGAGTTGTTTGGGCCACATGTTTAAAATGCCATTATCTTAGTGATTAAATCAATATTTTAAATCTTGTTGAAACCAAAAGAGGACCTCATGTTCAATATTTTACCATTTTTTAGTTCTGAATTTTTTGTAAGAGACTTGGTAGAAATTTTGGCAACTCCTTTAGAGAATGGCTCTTTTCTCTCCTCTCCAAGTTTATGCACTTGGGGTATGAGATGATTACCATAGAGGGTGATAATCAGATTCTGATTCATTGGACAAAGGACTTCTCTTTGGGTCTATGGAGGTCCTCTTATCTTCTTGGAGGGATAAAACCCCTTTTGAGTCTCAAGATCAGCTATAATTGGACAGCTAATTGCTTTGTGAGAGAAGGTCGTATTATGAACTGTTTTTTTCTGAGTCCTTGTTGAAGTCTTGAAGATGAGCTCTTTTTGTGTATCTTATACAGGGTGGAACCCTCTTCTTTCTTTGGAGCTGTTTCTGGTTTCCTTATTTTTTTATATTTAACAAGACACTTTTTATGAATAATCAGATTTTTTTATTATGTAGAAAGAACAATATTTAGAACAAGTTCCAGTAGTCAGTACCCCCTAAGCATAGCCCAGCAAGGCTGACTAATCCACATCTCTTAATTTCCTTCCCTTACATAGCTTGATTTACATTACAAACCCCGTTTGTTCCCCAAAAAAGTTGTTATCTGTTCACTCCTTACTTTGCTAGATCATTTGATATTGTATGAACAGTTCTTTATACTTTACTGTTAATGACATTACAAGAAATTGGGGAGTTATTGCAGCTTCTTCTTTGGCAAAGAAGAAACAAGTGAGAAAGTGGGAGCCTCCAGGGAATGATTTCTTCAAGCTAAATTTTGATGGTAGTTGTTTTGGCAACCCGATGTTGCTGGAATGGGAGGGGTAATAAGAAATGACAAAGGAGAATGGGTCTTCTTGTACTCTGGACCTTTAGGGGAAGGGGATTCCAAGGTTGCAGAGTTGAGGGCAGCGGTGTTTGGAGTTCAAAAAGCATGGGAGATAGGACTCAGAAAGTTGGTGATTGAAGGAGACTCAAAAGTGATCATAAGCTGGCTGAAGCAAGAGGACAAAGATCCCATGGCAGTTCAGGAATGAGTTTAGAAAATTCAAAAGATTTTCAAAAGACATGCTGGTCATTTAGCCAAGCAAGGGGTTAATAGAGGGAATTGCTTTTGGGCTTCTTTGTAATATAAGACTACTCTTTGATGTTGTTCTTCTGTCTTCTGGAGTAGCCGAGGCTACTCAAGTTGTTGTAAATTTATTATCTAATCAATAAAGCTTCGTTCTTGTTGCTGATAAAAAAAAAAAAAAAAAACAGTTCTTTATACCCAATAAGGATATCCTATCTCAAACCTCATGATAGATTGGAAGCCAACCCAGCACCACTTCTGAATCTCATTGGAGAGAAAGATGAAGAGAAGAACTGAAGAGACAGGGGCAGCAGAATGGTTGCTTCTGGTTGGCCCTAAATTTTTTTATTAAGATTTGAATCTAAAGTACATAAAAGTGCAAAAATACCCCTGATTAGTAACACCGCTTATCTTATGACTTAAAGTACTATTAGGCCCAATAACTAAAGCCCACTAACTGACTAATAGCAATAGACAAAAGATAATAATCCTGAGTCTATAATTTGGTGCTACAGGAGTGAAATGAAAAAAATTACATGGCTAACCAGGAATATGAATTTAAGGATACAATGGGTGAGGAGATCAGCAAATGGGATGGCAAATGCTTTGGCTAAGCAAGGGGTGAATAGATCTATTTTATTCAGGGCACAATTGTAATGTGTTTTCTTTTGCATGAGAGGTAGCAGCTCATGCCTCTCTAAGGGATGCTTGCAAAGATTACATAAAATCTATTAATAAAACTCAAATTATTCATAAAAAAAGCAGGCCCGATAGGCCTACATGAGTGAACCAGCCATTACAACACTTCCCCCCGAGCAGAGCATGGATGTTAGTCATGCCCAGCTTGCTAAAAAGACCTTGAAACTTTATTGAAGCAAATCCCCTAGTGAGATCATCGGCTAGTTGCAATCTGAAGGAGTGTACAGAATACATAGTTCACCCAAAACAATCCTCTCCTGCACAAAATGTCTGTCAACCTCAGTGTTCAGTCCTGTCATGCTACACAGAATTGGATAGTACCTTATCCCTATTATCCATCCTTGATGGGGTTTTCCTAGAGCAAACAAAGGTAGACAGTAGAATTTGGACCCTCTCTCCCTCAGGTTCCTTTACTTGGGCTTCTTTCTTTAAAGCCCAAATACAGCTGATTGTTCCTCCCGGTATGTCTTTCCCTATTAAAGAGGTGTGGTGTCAACCTGAAGGTGGGAAGTTTTTTAGTTGGGGAGCCTTTCTGGAAAGAGTTAACATAGGAGATTTGCTTCAACAAAAAAGGCCCAATAGTAATTTGTCTCCTCACTGGTGTGTCCTCTACAAAGTTCATTGGGGAACCTTGGCTTCTAGAGCTCTTCCAAGGGTGACCTCCGATCATTGGCTCATAGTGTTATGTAAGGAGGAAAGAAGGCATGGAGGTCCTACCCCCTTTAGATTTGAAAATATGTGGTTACTCCACCCAGGGTTTAACAACAACGTGAGGGAGTGGTGGTATGAGTGTAATCCATTGGTGGAATGGGAGGGGATGAAATTCCATAAGAAACTTCAATTTTTGAAAGCAAAAATCAAGGAGTGGAATTTGGTGGAGTTTGGGAGGATAGAAAACAGAAAGGGAGATCTGCTGGATAGGATTGAAAGCCTTGACTCTAAAGAAGAAAGGGGAGAACTTGGAGAGGAAGACATTGAGCTCAAGAGAGATTTAAGAAGACAGTTAGAGGACTGCCTGCACAAGGAGGAAATTAGCTAGAGGCAAAAATCTCGGTGTAAATGGGTGCAAGAGGGGGACAGAAACACTAGGTTTTTCCACTCTCTAGCAGAAGGCAGGAGAAGGAAGAACCTGATCTCCAAATTGGTAGTAGATGGAGTTGAGCTAGTGCATCAAGAGGAGATTGCCGGGGCTTGTGTGGAGCACTTCAAATCTATCCTAAGAAGGCCTGTGTGTAGAAGGGTGTGGGTAGAAGGATT